TCTTCCAGGGAATACCTTCTTTACCCGTCTGGGCGAAACCCCCACTTTGGGCCACCCTGCTCCCTGGATGACCATCACGCCCTCCCGAGGTTCGGGGCTCTCGGCGTCCCTTCCTGGGGCTCCCTTCTGACCTCTGCTCAGGCTCTGGTCTCTCATGCCAGGCCACGTTCCCCTGCTGTGTGTGCATTCTGTTTGGTTTTTTTATTTTCATTTTTAAGTATTTTATCAGTTATACCTTACAGATGCTCCATTCTTCATTCATCTCCAACTTTGTATCTTTAGTATCAGTACATTTTGTATACTAGTATAGGTATTATAATTTAGTCCTGAAAGTCAGTTAACGTGGTATACCATAGTTTTACTGAGGGCTCAAATAAATTTGAATAACTTGAGTGTCATTTTACTATATTCTACTGGGCCTGTATTTGTCTGATCTTACTTCACATTTGCTTTTATATTTGTTCATACTTTACAAGCTGTGGTCTCCCATTGCAGCTCTGAAGACAGTGTTAGTGGGATTTTCTTACTGAGCATTGTAAGCTTGAATGAAGCAGAATGTTTAATTTAAACTTACATAAACCAATTTGCTTTGCCAGCATTTTCTAAGCTCTACATAGATCTTTCTGCTTTCCTTTTGTAATATAAACCATTCCATTGCAAGGAAGATTATTTCAGGAAAAGTATGTTTTAAATCAGTAGTATAATAGACTTTGGAGTTATTGAAGGTCTAATTACATCGTCTTTGAAACTTTAAAGACCAGTATAGTCTTAACATTTGTATTTTTTATAAGCAGTTTCAGTGATAGTGAAAATGTTTTCTTCTCTCCTGCCCCCACGTTTAGATTAAAATTGCCAACTATTTAACAGTTATAGTAATTGTTAAGTTATCACTGTTTGCTCAGAAGTCTTTGTGGTCCTGAAATATAGAGGCTTATAGTTATATTTGTACAGAATTGTGTATTAATACATAGAAGCATCAAGCATTTTCCTCCTCAAAATTGTAAGGGACTGTTCACACTGCACTATAGGTGTTGATTGTTTTTTCCTTCTAACATTTCAGTTTTGTCTTTTTGTCAGGGCATAAAGATGGCTTTAAACACCCATCTGTAAATATCAGTTTTGAATACACGTGAGAAGCAGGCTGCCATCCCTCTCAGTCTCTGCTGATACTAGTGTAGTCTGTCTGATTTGAGGAACATTTGGTTGTTAAACAATGGAATTTGGTTACCAGAGTCACTGTGAAATAACATTTAGCTACAAAATCTATAATCTAATAATAACAGTTTTCAAATCTGGCCAGTAAGCAATAAGCTTAAGAGTGTTGGTCTGCTTTAGAATCTTAACTTGAATATTAGTTATGTAGAAATAGACTTAAATCTGATTGTTTACATATCTTGGACTTGAGCATGGAGTAATTTGGTCCAGGTTATGTCTGAGTTTATAATTTTATCAGTTGTACCAGATGAGTTGTACAGAAAATACTATAAAACTTGAGATATGTTTTAAGTGACTGTGTGCTCAGTCGCTCAGTTATGTCTGACTCTTTGCAATCCCATGGACCATAGCCCGCCAGGCTCTGCTGCCCATGGAATTTTTCCAGGCAAGAATAATGGAATGGATTGCCCTTTGCTACTCCAGAGGATCTTGCCGACCCAGGGATTGAACCCACACCTCCTGCATTGGCAGGCGGATTCTTTACCACTGTGCCACCTGCAAAGCGCCTTTCAAGTGACTAGTTGTTTTTTAAAAAGCTGTACGAAATGTAAAAAATTAGTAACATACAACTTCTTATTATTAATAGTACAATGGAAATTTGTCTAATACTGACTTTAAGTAATTTATAGGTAGGTCAGTGTAACAGTAGTATCATGCCACTATAGTGTAGTGTTGCTAAAAACATCCTGCATTTCACATTTCTGTACATATTAAAATTCTAATCTAAATGTGTGTTAGTCTCTAGTTCTGCCATGTTAGGGGAAAATGCCTACATGAAGCCTCAGAACTTTTTTATTGCCAGGTTTCCATACCATTACAGCCAGTGTGTCAACTGCACACAAATCTGTAAATGCAGGAGAGGCTCTTACTGTTCAGCAGTTACGCTGATTTCATTGCAGTAAGAAGTAGTCTGGATAATCACGCTGATGTCATTTTTTGAAATATTTCAGTTATAACCAAAAGCAGAGAGGTGTTTATGTTTTGGACTTTACCTTGTTATTAGCATCTTTTCCAATGCATATTTAGATGAACATTCTTTAAGGTCTGTGCCTAAAGTTTTAGTTCATATATAATAAGATTAGGGAATATTATGAAAGAAAACCTTGATAAAATATTAGTTGGAATACTGCTTATAAAACTTAAGGGGAAAAGCTGCAGTTAAAATCATTACTTTGAGTGTGTACACATAACTTTAGTATTTCTTTCTGCTTTATCTAAATAGCCAGGATTAAACATTTTAATCTAGTTATTATGGTTTCAAAAATAGTTTTAAAAAACTAGATTTTGTAAAGTGTATTCTTTGTTGTTATTCACTTAGAGATATCATATTTTTATAAACAGGAGCTCTGTTTTACATGTTTGGTGTTAGAGTACAAAGATCATCCCTCTTATCTTTAGGGTCTCGTAGTTTAATGACAGGTAGATAAGAAACTGTTTAAAGTTGACTTGCTAGGCTTTTGCTACTGTCCCTGCTCTGAGATCAGTTGGTGCCCAGAAGAGGGTAAAATGTCTTTGAACCAGCTGTTGGACCAAGACTTCTCCAGGGGTGATCCTATTAAAGGACCAGGCCCACACACATGGGCACTTCTTGTATCGTATCACCTGGTTACTTTTGACAACTTTTTAATTCCAAGGTGATGCTTTTTCTGTAACTGCAGATTACCAGGAAAGTTATTTCCATAGGTTGTCAATATATATTTATTGCATACTGTTTATACTGAGGTTTTTGGGGAAAAGGAAATCAAAGATGAGAGACCCCTGCTACCCCTTTATTGCATTACTTAAAAATGTGATAAAGTCATATTTAAAGAACTGATGTAGGCTGTTGTGGTGTGTGCTGTGTGTGCTCAGGTCAATGTCCAACTCTGTGACTCCACGGACTGGAGCCCACCAGGCTCCTCTGTCCGTGGAATTTTCCAGGCAAGAATACTGGAGCGGGATCCCGTTTCCTTGTAGGCTGTTGTAATGGGAATTTATTGATTTGGAGAAATTAAGTCAGATTTATTAAAGTTCTGCTCATAAAATTCAGTAAAGATTTTTCCACATCCTAGGTTTTTTAAAAAACCTTTGCTGTCAATTTTAAATTATTAACCTGTTGTAAAGGAGTTTTGCTAATTGTTTTTTATCACTTCCATCATTTAATTCCCACAACAAGCTGGTAAAATAGACATTGTTTTTATTCTTATTTTAGAGATGAAGAAACTGAGACTGATGGAGGTTAAATAACTTACCCACAGTTTCACAGCTGCTGGGCGGCCTGTCTGGTTGGAACTTGAATCTGAATCCTACTCATAACTGTGTGGTTTTCTGTCTTGTTTTCCCACACTGACACATTCTTCACTGTGCCATGTAGCATTTGCTATTTTAGGCTGGGATCTGATCATCTCAGGGGCTTCCCTCGTGGCTCACATGGTCAAGAACCTGCCTGCAATGCAGGAAATCTGGGTTTGATCCCAGTGTCTGGAAGATGCCCTGGAGAAGGGAATGCCTACCCATTCCAGTATTCTTGCCTGAAAAATTCCATGGACAGAGGAATCTGGCTGACTGCAGTCCATCGAGTTGCAGAATCAAAGACTTACTTATTTAAAAATTAAAAAATTATAGGAGTATAGTTGATTTGTAATCTGTTAATTAAGACTTATCATTTAATTTTGACTGTGTTAGTTGCTCAGTCGTGTCCAACTCTTTGCTACCCCATGGACTATAGTCCGCCAGGCTCCTCCATCAGTGGGATTTTCCAGGCAAGAATACTGGAGTGGCTTGCCATTTCCTTCTCCAGGGGATGTTCCTGACCCAGGGATTAAACTTGGGTCTCCTGCATTGCAGGCAGACTCTACTTTACTATCTCAGCCACCAGGGGAGCCCTCATTTTGACTATGTTATTAAAATGAAACTGCAGAAGGCAAAACAGAAATGATTGCCCTGTTGGTTGCAAGGCAACATAGTTTCCCATTTCCCTGGTGGCTCAGTGGTAGAGAATCCACGTGCTAAGCAGGGGATGCAGGTTTGATCCCTGGGTGGGGACTATTCCTTGGAGGAGGAAATGGCAACCCACTCTAGTATGCTTGGCTGGGAAATCCCGTGGACAGAGGAGCCTGGTGGGCTACAGTCCATGGGGTTGTGAAAGAGTCAGACATGACTTAGTGACTAAATAGCAACAACAACAATAGCTTTCTCACCCCAATGCTTAATATTAACTTATAGCTATCTTTTTTGGGGGAAGTCTAGCTTAAAATCAGCATAAAAAATATTTTGTCACCTTTTATTTTTAGCTATTTTAAAAAATAAGCATTAATCATTATATGTCTGTGGTGAGTTGTACTTTTTTTTTTTTTTTTTTTAAACTGAGAGCACATCCGTGGCTGATTCATGTCAAGGTATGGCAAAAAGCACTACAATATTGTGAAGTAATCAGCCTCCAACTAATAAAAAATAAATGAAAAAAAAGATAAATGGAGAGCATAGAAAACACTCGAAGGGGGAATAGGTTGTGTTTTTTAATGCTCGACTTCCAAAAAGGTTTAGATTGATTGATGAATGATAACCGTTTAAAAATTTTTTCTAAGCTTTTAAAATGCTTCCAAATTAAAGATATAATTTTTAAGCAGTGATTGGTTTTGTCTGAAAAATCAAATGTAGAATATTGTTTAGTTTGATCAGCAATGTGAATTTTTAAAAGTAATGGTAATTGTTGCAATATTCTCTATCAGTTGTTTTATATAACCTGGAATTGTGCGTGCTTTTACACATACCCAAACTGATATGTTGTTATTTTTATTTTACAGGAGCCCTCTAGAACAGTTTCAGGCAGATACAAAAGGTAAGAATCCTTAAGTTATGACTAAGAACCTATTGTAGACATAAGTGTAATGTCAGAAACCTTAATTGTCCTCTTAAAAAGAAATGACATTGTAGGTAGACCACAACTTATTCTCACATACTCTGCAGTCTTTGAAAACCGCACACAGCATGGATTTGTGAAGGTTTGGTGAACCTAGCAAAAGAAAACTTAGTCATTTTCATTTGTGTATTTAAACACTGAAAAGAAATGCCATAACAAAATGCCATAGACAGGATGGCTAAAATAGAAATTTATTTTCTCACAGTTCTGGAGGCTGTAAAATCCAAAATCAGTCAGAGTGCCAGCATGGTCTGGTTCTGATGAGGGTTTTCTTCCTGACTCTCAGAGAACTGCCTACTCACTGTGTCCTCGCGTGCTGGAGAGAGAGTGGGTAATTTGGTCAGATTCTGTGGGTGAAGGCCCTCTTGCCAGTTGCAGACTAACATAACAGCTTGTCACCGTGTCCTCACATAGTGGAAGGGGCTAGAGAGCTCTGTGGCATTAGTGTGCTTAGAAAAGTGCATAAGGACTCAAACTTTGTGACCTAGGCCCCTTCCAGAGTCTCACCACCTAGTACCCTTACATTGGACATTAGGATTTCAGCATAAGAATTTGGAGGGACACAAGCATTCAAACCATAGCAAGTCCATAGCACCACCTATTCACAATTGAATAATGCTTTTTACGAGAATTTATGTTTGAGTGTATGTGCTCATGTATAGGAGGAAGACCAGAATTATGAGAACTTGTTTAACAGAGACGCCTGAAGTAGTAGCGTCCTTCCCTGTTGAAGCCATAAAGTTGCAAAAGATGTGGTCATCATGCTTGTGCTAATAATTATAGAATAATGGTAAATCTCATCAAGTCTTATATATAATGTCCAGGGTGCTTTACGGAGAACTCATTCAATTCTTGCAGTTATCGTATAAAGAAGGTACTGTTGGTAAAATATTTACTTTTACTTTGTAGGTGAGGGAAATGAGATAAAGAGGTAGAATCATTTCACTGTGGTTACAAAACTAGTCAGTATGAGCCCAGATTTGAACTCAGGCAACCTGACTCCAGAAGCCACATGCCTGTGCGAGACAATCTACCTAGATTTATATGTGTAAAACCTCTGTTTTCCTCTGTTTGATGTTAAGTTTAAAATATATGGTTAAAAGTTGTAATTGTTACAGTGTATATAAATGAAATATTAAGAAGAGCTGTAATTTTATTACTAAGTTATTTAATAGAAAAGATTTAAATATTTAGTGATAAAACAATGTTTAAGAAGGCTAAGCTAATCAACAACTGAGTAAGTAAATCTGATATATTTGTCACTGCTACTGCTTTTATTTTAATTTCTGAGTAATTTTGATATAGGTATAATGAAACCTGTAGTTCCTTTAAACTTCTAACATGTAAGCATTGTTTGGAAACTTTTACTTAGCATGACTAGTTTAAACTGGAAAGAATCTTTTTTTGTTTGCTAACAAGCATTGCCAATCAAAAAGCTTTGATTTGGCCTGTTTGCAGGCCACGTTCTCAAACCAAAATATTTTTATCAAGTTTTTGTTTCGGGAAATAAAAATGAACTTCAGTAACTTAGCACATTTGTTGTATCATTCATACACATTTAGTTCTTAAGTAGTACACTTTAAATTATAATTGGCACTTTTCAGATTTGCATTCTTTAGTTAGAGTCATTAGGGGAATAATTTCCTTACAAATCTTCATCAAAAGCTTTATTTACCATTTATCATTTATCTACCATTTATCATTGTGTTAAATCAGGAAGACAATTGATTTCACATGGTGTATGTTTTTATTTTTAAGCTTTTTAGACCATTATTTTACTTGTGACCTGTTCGTACACTTGTTGCTTCTTTTATTTTCATAGCCTAGAACATGTGGTTTGTTACTTTTCAACTCTCAAAGGTTTAGCCATGTTTAATACTACTAAAAAAACAAACATTTTTTAAAGTTACTAATCATTATTCACAAACTCATTGCAACTCAGACATAAGATAAACAAAATCTAGATCTGAACTTATCAGTGCCTTATCTAGAGGAATTTGTTGTATTGTATATCAACAGTTCATTACATTCATTAATCTGTCAAGTTGCAACAAAGACTGAAGAATGTATATTTCTTAGAGAGGATGTCTGCTGATTAATGGGGATAAAAAAAGGAGGAATGGGCTAAAGGATAGATATTTGGCATTATATGTTAGAAAATATTTTCAGTTAACCAAATAACTTATACATATGGCTAGACAAACTTAAAAAGTCATTAGAGGATATAAGCCATCCACAAGACCAGTTGGTGTGTTCTTACAAATTATGAATTAAATATTTTTTCTTACAGATATCAAGGATGCGTTGAATTTATTAAGCAGTGACTCTAGTTATGCCCTATTTTATTGAGTCAATTCGTTTACCTAGAACATCTCTTAAATATTCACTGAACTCCTTTTTATAAAACATGTTTAAATGGGGCTTCCCTGGTGGTCTAGTGGTTAAGGCTTTGCGCTCCCAGTGCAGCTTTGATCCCTGATCAGGGAACTAGATCCCACATGCCACTGCTAAGAGTTTGTATGCTGCAGCTAAAGATTCCGCATGCCACAGCAGAGATTGAAGATCCCTGTGTGCTGCAAGTAAGACCTGACACAGCCAAAGAAATAATTTTTTTTTTTTTTAAACAGCTATGTTTCAATAACTTTGGAAAATTATTTGGAGGTGGGGGTCATAAAGCTTCTGAAACTTAAGGTTTAGGAAGGGTGGACCAGTGGTCATGTGTTTATGGGGTTTTTTCCTCCCCAGTGTGTGTAATTTTCGTAATAGAATGTTTACTTGGTTAAGTTTATAGTGATCTCTTTAAGATAATTTACTGTATTTAACATATCAGAAAAGAACATGTATGATAGCCCCTAATGGAAAAACTTAAATTTATAACAATGAGATAGCGTATATGCTGTAATATATTAATGTAAAGTTACAATACGGACATTAAACTGATGTAGAAAATGTTACCTATAAGAATTAATAATTATAGGAAAATTATTACCTATTTATATTAAACGAGCAGAGGGAGAGCATATAACAAAGGGTATGATAATAAAACAGTGTCTCTTATATAAAGTGTTCTAAACTTGAACTCTATTGACAATCTGCTAAATTTCTGTGTAAAAGAATATCATGCTTATTTGGGAGAAGAGCTATATTTTTCATCAGATTTTCAAAGGGATCTGCAATCCAAAAAGGTTATGAACTACTAATATTGATATATTGTGGAATTGTGGCTCAGCTGGTAAAGAATTCACCTGCAATACGGGAGACCTGGGTTTGATCCCTGGGTTGGGAAGTTCCTCTGGAGAAGGGAAAGGCTCCCCACTGTGGTAATCTGACCTGGAGAATTCATGGACTGTGTAGTTCATGGGGTCGCAAAGAGTTGGACACGACAGAGCGACTTTCACTTTGACTTTCATAACATCTGTTGTCTGTGGGTTATTGGGGTTACTGGAGAGATTGATCATACTATCTGTTTCCCACAGTGAATATGTATCATAATTTTAATAGAGTCTGAGAAATAATTTATTTTTTTATTTTTTTTAATTTATTTTTTTTTCCATTTTTATTAGTTGGAGGCTAATTACTTTACATCATTTCAGTGGTTTTTGTCATACATTGAAATGAATTAGCCATGGATTTACATGTATTCCCCATCCCAGTCCCCCCTCCCACCTCCCTCTCCACCCGATCCCTCTGGGTCTTCCCAGTGCACCAGGCCCGAGCACTTGTCTCATG